GGTAGGTCAGTCTGTGCTGCTGTTAGGCACCTGTGACTGGCCTGTGCCCACTGACTCTGGTTAAGGGGTTGTTTAATTGTTATGTGGCTATTTGGGCTTGCATGAGCCCTAGGACACTTCAACCTCAGAGTGTATAGACCTAGGACTCTACATGTATCAAAATCATTATGAATGTTCTAAAAGAGGTTGGTGGAAATAGATTCCTGTTAAAATTCACTAATGATACTAAATGGTGAGGAATAGACATGAGAACTGAATAACACCGAGGAGCTTAAAGAAGTTAGAAACATAGCTAAGAACAAAAACTAATTAATTTTGGGAAGGTGAAAATGTAAAAGCACTGGAGGGGGGGGGGGAAATAAACTGATAAGGAGATCAGAAATGGAAAACAGAACAAGGCAGTGCTAAAGAAGAATTTGTGGGATGAGACTATAAAGTAAATTAGACATTTGAGGGGATTTGGCTGAAAAGAAGTTATTAGCAAGTATTAGGAAAGTTCCTGGTTTAGGAGCGTCAATATTAGGGTGTCATAACTTAATCCCTGGACTTCTCTGTTGTCCTTTTACTGCAGAAGGAAGAGAAGGCAGTTTGATGCAACAAAATTCCCATTTGTTGCTTTTATTCACATGCTCTCCTATCAGATGTTGAATACTATTACCCTGTGGCAGTGGGAAAGGTCCATGCAAAGTGATGTCATGTGGACAAAGTTTAAAAATGAAACAAAAAGGCCAACAACTTGGAAGAAAAAGTAGAGAAACTCTCCTCTCAAATTTCAGTAATTTTAGGTGAAGTCGCTTTTGGATAGTGACTGTTTATGTTGACTGTCCCATTGTAAGAACCAAATACATGTAACTTATAGTAAACAAGGTAGGACATGGTGGGTCTATAACCATTTGGAATATGCCAGGAGGCAAGGATGAAGAGAAATAATGTATGGTAATACACAGGGCTATAAGTATGTTGTGAATGGGAGCTGCAAAGGAGACCCTCACTTACCTGGAGAGTGAGGGAAGGGTTAAGCTAACCTTAAGCTATTCTGCACCTGAGGGAGAGGGCTGGTCAATGAAATGCAATAAAGATTTTCAAACTAGGGGAAGCAGTCTTCTTTATTTGAGAGGGGAATCTTCTCCAGATGTGGAGAGAAGAAATCAGCTCCCCCAAAACAGATCCCGTGTATTCATCAGAATGGGGGAATAGGGAAAAGTTTAAGTAGTCTGTCAGGTTTATTTTTGTTTAGGGTTTGGAAATTGTCTGAGCTGGTTAATTGTTTTTCTCTCTTGTAACCAAGAATTAATCCCAGGGAGAATCCCTGGCTACATCTACATTGGAAAGATTTTGCGCAAATACTTTTAATGCAAGAGGTTTTGTGTTGAAATATTTGCGCACGAGAGCGTCTACACTGGCATGTGCCTTTGCACAAGTAATGTGCTTTTGCGCAAGAGCATCCATGCCAGTGTAGACACTCTCTTACGCAAGAAAGCTCCAATGGCCATTTTAGCCATAGGGCTTTCTTGCACAAGAAATTCATGTTGCCTGTCTACACTGGCCTCTTGCACAAGAACAGTTACACAAAAGGGCTTATTCCTGAGTGGGAGCATCATAGTTCTTGCGCAAGAAGCCCTGATTTCACACATTAGAATGTCAGTGTTCTTGTGCAAGAACTCCCAGCCAGTATAGACAGGCAGCATGTTTTTGCACAAAATCATGCCAATGTAGACACAGCCCCTGAGTTTTGTTCCAATTCATGGCTTTTTAACACCAAATTTAAAAAGTTACTATCCTTGCAACAATGGTCTTGTTTTGATAATAAGTGTGGGGTTTTTTTGTTCGGTTAACTGGTATTGGTTGTTCTTTTGTGGCCTTAAACTTAAGTGCCTGGCTGCAGACACATTATCAGATAGAGCAGTGGTCCCCAACCTTTTGGGGCTGCTGGGTGCATGGGGGCGGGGCTGCTCATGCACCAGGGGGAGGGGCCACACACATGCCTGGGGGAGGGGCCATCCCTAATAAGTGTGGGGTTTTTTTGTTCGGTTAACTGGTATTGGTTGTTCTTTTGTGGCCTTAAACTTAAGTGCCTGGCTGCAGACACATTATCAGATAGAGCAGTGGTCCCCAACCTTTTGGGGCTGCTGGGTGCATGGGGGCGGGGCTGCTCATGCACCAGGGGGAGGGGCCACACACATGCCTGGGGGAGGGGCCATCCCTACGCACCCCTGGGGGCGGGGCCATCACCGCCCGTGTGCTACATGCCTGGGCCAGCGCCACCCCTGTGCCATGCACCCAGGGGCTGGCACAGCCCTTGCACCACGTGCCCGGTGGCGGGGCCGCCCAAACACTGCATGCCCAGGAAGGCAAGTCGTATGAGGTGCACCCTGGGGCAGGGCCCCCAAACACGCACCCAAGGGTGGGGCCGCCCATGTGCTGTGCGCCCGGGGCCGACGCTGCCCATACATTGTGCGCCCAGGGGGCAGGCACCACCTATGTGCCGCGCGCCCAGGGTGAGGCCAGCTCCGATCACTCGGCGGGTGCCATGGCACCAGCAGGCACCGCGTTGGGGACCACTGAGATAGAGAGCATAGGTTCATTGTTCTCTGTGCAAGTATGCTTGTTTTCCAGCTCCTTGGGGAAAGGAGATTGGGTAGTTTTGCCCTTAGGGGAGAGATTCCAAGCAATTTCTTCTCTGGAAAAAGATTTGGACAGTTGGTGGTGGCAATACTGAATAGGTGTCAGGGGAAACTGAAATCAGGAAATCTTTTTTTTTGGTCTCTGGGAACTGCAGAGACAGGCTCTGACAGCATTTTATTTTACTAGCCTGCCCCCAGTACCTATACTCCATGTGCGAGGCTGGGGAATTCAACCATGATAAACTAGGAGAAAAAAGCAGCCACAAGACTTAATTCAGTCCTAAAACTGTAAGAAGCAACTTCTACAAGAATTGCTTTGTTTCAATTGTAAGAAAAACAGATCTGTGGAAATGGCCCTGCCAGAACCTATGGGTCCCAAATGTTGTAGAACTGTTTTCTACTTCTAGTTAGAAGAAATTGGAGAGTTGCACACTAAGGCTATGTCTACACTGACGGCTTCTTGTGCAAGAATATCTTGTGCAAGAACATGTCCACACTGCCATGGGTGAGCTATGCTTTTGCACAAGAGCATCCATGGCAGTGTGGATGCTCTCTTGCACATGGCCACACTGCCCTCTTGTGCAAGAGCCCCTGCACAAGAGGGCTTACACCTGTTAAAAAAGAGCATAGCTCTTGCGCAAGGAGCCCTCTCTTAGCGCACTGTACTGTAAATCTTCTTGTGCAAGAGGAGGCGAGCAGTGTGGACGCTCTGCGGATTCTTGCACAAGAACGGCCTTTCTTGCGCAAGAACCTGCCAGTGTAGACCTAGCCTAAAAGTTTGACAGGGTCAGGAAAGCTACAAACACCATAAGTCCTAACACAAATGAGTGATTTGATTTCTGCATGTTGCTAAAGTAAATTGTTTCCCTTGAACAGGTTTTGAACTTCCAGATGCGACTTCTGTGGAATAAACATGCAGCCTTCACTTGACTGACCTGATTAATATTTACATTTATGTGGAATTAACCAGAAATATCAGGTATGTTCCATTTCGTGCCTGGTTAGTCTCCCTAAGCTTCCATTTTTGCTCAGGCTTTCTTTTTTCCCCAGTGTTCAGTTGCCCCCTATTGGCCTTCAGGAAAATAACATCCTTGTATAAATTCCTAGGACCACTGAAAAATCTGCAGTAGTACATGCAAAAGCAAGAAAAAAATGAGACATATTCTGATCTGGTATGTCTAAGGAAAGACTGGAGTTAACTCCACTGGACTTCAACAAGGTTACTCTGCATTCGTACTGGGGTAATCAAGATCAGTCTTGACCGTGCCCACGTCTGCTTTCCTCTAAGTCTCTGGCAGGAAAGAAAGCTGATAGCACTTGAACCTTTCTCCAATCCTGAAGTGAAACACACCATTACACTTCTCTAGAAATATGCTTGTGGAAATCTGACCCTTCATAGTTTTTAATTTTGTGTAATGACCAATGTGTCATGCTGTACCTTTCTGACGTGCATATAGTCTGATGGCTTTTCCGCTCTACACGTTTAAAGAAATGTATCCCATGGCTTCACTGGATCTTAGCACAGCACTCAGCAGCCTTCACCCACCTAATATTTCTTTAGTTTTTTTTTTAAACAAACTAAAATCTTCATGTGAGCTTAACCCACTACAGTTCAGGTTCAACCTCAATTTCTACTAAAGTTGGGATTTGATATTAGCTTGTAGGCTCCTGCCCATGGTGTTTGCTGCCACTCCAAGAGGCACAGTTCATAAACTGAGGCTAACAGTGAGGGATGTTGAAAAAAGCTTTTACCAGGCAGTATTGCCCCAAAATGGGCATGAATTGTGATCCACCTTTATATAATGGCACAGGACCCTTATCTGACCTCAAAGTTCCAATGTTCTTTCTTTAAAAAAAAGAACACAGCTGTTTACAGGTGCTGTAATGTTCTACAAGTAAGCAATGATACCAACCCCATTAATAATTGTCCTGCATTTTGCTTCAGCTACCCCAGACTAACACGGCTACATTTCTATCATTAATAATGAGTACTTCTTTAATTAGTGACACTTTCTTCAAAAAGGAAGGACAATACTCTTAAGTCTAAGACCAGCTGCTGTTGCATCCTTCCATCTAGCCTTGTAGCAAGGTTTTCAGTCACCTTTGTGTATGGATGATCAGTGTATAATTAGTGAAGCAGCACAACCTTCAACAAGAATTATTCCACGAGGTTAGCAATTAGGAACAAGTGCTGTGATCCTTTTCAAGGAGAGGGTTAGAGTTTGTGCAGTTTAAAAATATTTAGGATAGAGCAGAAACTCACTGAAACACAGCTGCTGCTTTCAACAGTACCTTAACATGAATGAAATAAGGTCTGATGGATTTACTTTTAGGAAGAGGTTGCTCTCAAGCAATGACTCACCGAGATTGAGAAAATGCATGTAACTATTCATTCTCTATGAATTTTAATGTCACTTAGTAGTAACCAAGCATAAAGGCAACATTCTTTATGTAATCAAGGTGTGCAGTGCTTAAAAAAAAAAGCCACACTGAAACTGGAAGCACATTAGCTCTTCTTGCTGCCATCCTGTGAGAACAAGCCGCCTACTACCTGTTCTTTGCTGCAAGAAGGGAAAATTCATGAGAGAGCTCATAGCGAGCAAGGTCAAACACTTGGAATTCATTAGGGACCAAACCTGAAGAGGTTGTGTAACAATCATTCTGAGGCAGTACAACCAGATCACCCACACCCTCTTAGAAAACATAGCCCACATTCTTGTCCCTAAGTAATAATTCTGAGTATCCTGCCTGTGATTTATACCTGCATAAGGACTTGACAGTAGACATCCACAAGAAAAATTGGGCTGTCATCTTCCTGTAATTTCATTAATTACTAAGCACCCTATGAGGGGAATTAAATCTTAGATAGCAGCCAGTAGAAATAAAGCCTGGCTCTGTGGATTGTGTGTGTGTGTAAGAGAAGAGAGTTGAAACTAGGCCTGCTTAAAGCAAATTGGGCTATAGTCCGATGGTGCTGCTCCTTTCCCGCTTTCTCCCTGTGTGTCCCCCTAAACCCTTACAAACGCACAGAAGGCAATTCAATTAACTTGGGTTGGTCAATCCCCTTTCTTAAAGAGGAGTGATCATTATAGATATGAGGGAATTTCCATCTTCTGTCAGCCTCGGTTCATCCAGGACAAAGGCCAGAGGCTCTTCTGCAGCGGTTATAAGGCACTGAGGTTGCTTTTGCACACTACTTCAGCCACGATAGGCCTTCAGCAGTTGCCCTGCTATCACTAGTCTCTGGATCTCACTTGTCCCCTCATAGATTTCTGTGATCCGTGCATCCCGGTAGTGGCGTTCCGCTGGCATCTCCGTCACATAGCCCATCCCTCCCAGGATCTGGATGGCCTGAAATAAAACCAATAAGTTACCTTTCCACTCAAACTTCTGGGCTCCCACTGCTCCAAGGGACATTACCATCATCCTACAATCCTTATGGGAGTGACCCTTGTCACCTGCACCCACAGAAGGGCAAGCAGTCACATGATGTATCCATTCGGATTCAGTCATGCAGGCACCTAGTGGACTCCTCTCTAGCAAGACTCGTTGATCAGTCACCTAGTATAACAGCAGTAAGGATGATGCAAGATGGGGGCAAACTATACTGCACAAAGGATGCAGCCTGTTGTGATTTGCCCTCCCTCCTTTCACTACTTGCCATACTCCAGGGACTGACGCTGTTACCAGCTGCACAGAAAGGCAAAGAAACTGAAGTGTTGTTTGGGTAAGTAGCAGAGTATTTCCCCACTGCCCTGAATAACTCTGCTAGGGCGTCAAGCCAGCCCTGCTCCCAGACAGTTCTATGCCTGGCTGATGAAGGGACTTTACAGAGGGGACCCAGTAGCGCACTGCCTTTAAATAGGTGTAAGCACCAAAGGCAGAGGGGAATTCTTTATGGCAGTTCCTCCACATATAAGTTGAGATCTTTCCTTTACATTACTTAACCAGCACATTTACCCGGCATGATTTGGGTCCTTAAAGGGGGCTCTGGACAGGGGAGAGTGAGTATGTGCATGCCAGATTTGTATTGGGGCTGCTGGCTCTACCCCTCCCTGCCTCTGTCAAGGAGCAAAGCAAATAGCATAGCTTCTCTGCCCCAAGCTCCCCAGCCAGAGCAAGGATTGCAGCAAACTGTGCACTTTCCCTCGCTTCTTGATGAAAGGGAACAGCCAGAAATGTCTCCATACAAGTTGGGGGGAAGCCTCAGCCCCTCCTACCATCTCTATAGGTCTCTTGGGGCATAGAAGGCTGGAGAGCATCCCCAGTCATCCTCTTTCATCTGCTTGGTGATGGTCTCATTTCTATTTTATTTTATGAGAAGCAATCCTATTCCAGGCTAGGGATATAAGTGTCTAGCTGAGTCACTATTCAACTAGTTCCTCCCCTCCCTTGCTGTCTCTGATACAGAGGCAGTAAGGGAGGGAGCAAGAGCTGGTGCTGTGGAGAGCCAGCTTAAAAGCCAGTTCCCCCCAGCACCGTCTCCACCAGGGGGCAGGAGAAGCAGAGGCACAGCAGGGGAAATGGTGCATGTGTGGAACTCTTTGTCCCTGCTGTGCCTCTTCCTTTGAAATGTACAAGAGCTGTAGGTGGCTCTTGTACATTTCAAAGAGAGAGGCACAGCAGGATAGCAAGTGCCCCCCTTATCGAGTAATTGAGTAGATGATGGAAATTCCATTAGCTACTCAATTAGCTGATTAATCAAAATTTAACATCCAAACATCCAATATTCCTGACACAGCCAAATCCTTATGTTGTTTTAAGTTTAAGAAGAAGCTGAATACTAAATTTGGTGGTTCTAGTTCTTACTGTTCAGGAGGAGTACTTGAAAAGACAAATGTATAGTAGATTTTAAGACTGGAAGGATTAGGTTCTCAAGTGAGTAAATATGCATTTTACCGAGCACCTCCCTCCAACTGATATCAATGAAAATATTTTTATTGAGAAGACTTAAAATGCTGCTTAAGAACATTTACTTATTATATTTTGGCACATGTTGGCAATTGCTGTTTTATATTTTTTAATGTCATTAAATCATTGTCTCTTTCCTTAGATCATAAAACTTCAAAGTGAGCCGCTGTAAATATAATTGATGGATAATAAGTTCAATGTGGCCAAGCCTATTTATTGTAATCCAGAGGAGGAGACTGGACAAGCTTATCCCCGAAGCTCCCTTTGTGTGTTACAGAAGGCGTAGAGACTCCCCCCACCCTACCTCCTTCAGGCTAATCTGAGTGGAGACAGATGGTTACCTGATGGGAAATGGCAGTTGCAGCCTCTGATGCAGCTAACTTGGCCATTGCGGCTTCCTTTAAAAACAAAAAAACAAAAAACTATTTGTAGGGTTATTCTAGCAGGGCCCTAGTTGTATGTGTTGCCTGAAGCTCAAGTTTGTGTATACACCCTCAAGCTAGAATTCACACCCAATGTGTTTAAAATGTACATCTCATAATAGTCACATGCTGGAATTTGAGCATTCAAGCCATGTCCCCTTCCAAAAAAAAAAAAATCACCAGATGTTTGATTAGAAGACTTAACTGTAGATAGGAGCTAGAGCCAACCCTGGTGTTGCTGACAGACAGCCAAAGAGAACAAAGTGACACTGAAGAGAATGAAAAACATATTGTGGTTCCAGTACACACAGGAAACACACTTGGGTTGCCCATGCAGCAAGAGAGCTTCTTTTTCTGACTAATCTTGATTTTTTTAGTGTAAGTATTGTTAGGATGCAACAAGCTGTACTTTGGTTATAGCAGATAGGTAAGTGACAGATTCTGGGTGACAGAACCAAAACTTCATTTAAACAGAAAAATGATTAAGCAAGCAGACCTACAATTACCATTTACATAGGTACTACAATGATACTCCATCTTTGCATGTGTATATTAATGGGTGATGAGGCTTCTAACATCAGAATCCAAGTGTTATTCTGTAACCTAATCACACCTCTAAATTTAGCAATCTTTAAGTAATGCATACTAATTAACATTAAATCTAGCCATTACCATGTCTGCCAGCTTTTGAATTTTTTTATGTAACATGATTTAAACAGCAGAACCAATGCTCTTTTTTATGCTACCACTAAGTTTTAAAAAAGTTAGTCAAATCATAGGTACAACATAGCTATGTCTATGTCTACACTCATGGCTTCTTGCATGATTAATATGCAAATGAGGCTAAGCATGGAATATTGCTGAGCCTCATTTGCATACCTAATGAGCCACCATTTTTTTCAGAAGAGGCTCTTGCACAAGAAAAACCCTCTTGCACAATGCCGTTACATCTATTACTTTTCAGGAAGAATGGCATTGCGCAAGAGGGTTTTTCTTGCACTAAGGGGCAGTGTAGATGCTCCTCCTTGTGCAAGAGCCTCTTCTGAAAAAAATGGTGGCTCATTAGGTATGCAAATGAGGCTCAGCAATATTCCATGCTTAGCCTCATTTGCATATTAATCACACAAGAAGCTGCCAGTGCAGATATAGTCTGTGTCGTCTTTACCAAGTTTTCCATTTGGCAGACTCCAACTTAACTTTATATAAACTTCGGTTAAAAGTAACCATAAAGATGGAAAGCTGAAGATTAGACATTATTATGCAGCACTTTTGAAGATGGGCATTGCCATATTAGATGAGAACAGTAGTCCATCTTATGCTGACAGAGGTCTAGATTAGGAGACTGTCTAGACTGGCCAGTTTTTCCCTTTTCTGGAAAAACTTGTCAGCTGTCTACACTGGCTGCTAGAATTTCTGCAAAAAAACTGACTTCCTACTGTAAGAAATCATTGCTTTTTGCGGAAATTCTATACTGCTCCCATTCAGGCAAAAGTCCCTTTTGTACAAGAGGGCCAGTGTAGACAGCTGAGATTTGTTTTCCGCAAAAAAGCCCCAATCGCAAAAATGGCGATCGGGGCTTTTTTGCGGAAAAGCACACCTAGATTGGCCACGGATGCTTTTCTGCAAAAAGTGCTTTTTGTGGAAAAGCGTCTGTGCCAATCTAGACACTCTGTTCCGAAAATGGTTTAATGGAAAACTTTTCCGTTAAAACCATTCCAGGAAAATCATGCCAGTCTAGATGTAGTCGGAAGCTATAAGACTCCAATAGATAAGAAATTATGTCCAAAGATGTTTCTTCCTCATCCCAGGTGGGGGCTGGCTTATGTCCTCAAGCAAAAGGTTTTTGTAGTCATTTAATAATCTTTCTATTTTTTTTTAAACATGCTAATCTCTTGGCCTTGCTATTGTTGTGGCAAGTGAATTCTATAACTTACTGTTTTTTTTTTTAATACAATTATGAAAAGTTTTTCCCTATATTGTATTATTGAAATATGGGACACAAGAAAAAAAACCTTCCTTTGTGTATTGTAGTTCAAGACAGTGATACAATTTACAGGTGTGGCAGACTGGCATGTCTTTCTCCATTAGTGATGATAAACATTTGGCTGCATGCATTTGAGGACTCCCTCGGTATATCAGGCCAGCGCTGCGCAGGTAGCTAGCATAAGAGACTTCATGAGAGCCCCCCAAAGACCACAGACTCAGATAAGATATGAAGGCACCCCAGACATGTTTATTATTGAAAAGTACAGGAATAGTTGCTGGTAGCCAGATGGCCTCTGAGCCCCTCCATATTTGTACCTAAGACAATGGACATGGCTCACTTGATAGTATGGATTTCAGTATTGCCCCCTAGGCTGTCCACAGAATTAAGTTGAAGTGCCCCAATATTTATAGAAATTAATCTGATACCCACTACATAGATCTTATGCACTAATGACACATTTGGTACTGCCCCTTGTACTTTTCTCCAAAGCATTCCTATTTACTACCCATTCTTATGTTTTCACTCGTTTCAAACTATTTTAATCAGCTGGATGTTCTTATACTGACCTGGTGGAATGTATTTATATGAGTCGCAGCAGTGCTAGTGCTGAGAGATACTGACTTGCCAGCCAACATCTGCTTTTGATACAGCCTGTCTGTTACTTACCAAGTATAACTCTTCCTTACTTGGCTCAAGCACCGGGCCCATGCTTCAGGCTCTTTCTTTCTCTTACATGTACATGATGCATTCAACAACTCTTGAACTCGTCAGTTTTTAAATGAGTTTTATTCGAGCTTGTCATAGGAAAAGTGTGACTTTAAAATAAAAATTGGTAGGGAAGATTACAAGTGGAACCTGAGACTAAAACATGCTTTTAATTATGCACTTTGCAGTAGTTTGGCTCAAATTTGTACATGGCTCGTGCAATGATAACAACAGTTAAGTAACTGGCAGTTGCACTTGTTTAGACTATATCAAGGGGTAGCCGTGTTTGTCTGAATCTGCAAAAGCAGCCAGGAGTCCTCAGGCACATTATAGACTACCAAGTGTTTGGAGCATAAGCTTTTTGTGGGCAAAGACCCACTTCGTCAGACACATGGATGCATCAGACAAAGTGGGTCTTTGCCCACAAAAAGTTTATGCTCCATTACATCGGTTAGTCTATAAGGTGCTACAGGACTCCTTGTCACTTTAAGGAGGGGATTCTTTAAGTGATCTCTTCCCTGATTTTCTTGGCGGGTCTTTGCCCACAAAAAGCTTATGCTCCAAACACTTGGTAGTCTATAAGGTGCTACAGGACTCCTCACCGCTTTTGCTTAGAGTGATGTCAACTAGTTTTCCTTGCAAAAACCCATCCTTACCTCATCTGATGAAGTGGGTTTTACCCATGAAAACTCATGTTAGTCCTGTGCACTTTAGAGACTAACTGTCCTGTTTCTTTTTTGCAATGGAGTCTCCATCTTGGCCAGATGTACAAAGAGGTGCTACTTGAGGCTCTCGCATCCATGCTTACCTAGCAAGCATTTTAAGTGAGCTCTTCTCACTAAGCAGTCAAGACTAGCAACGGCAGAGGGCAGAATCCCATTTTCACATGCTGTTAACACACGTGCATGGTGTGCATGGTGCACTTTAGAGGGCAAGGTTTCTAGTCCAGTTGTCAACTACCTTTCAAGGGCAGCATATACACACACAGCCAGGATAGCTCAAAACCAGTAGTGAAACCTTGGGTATATGCTGGACCACCCACTGGTTATGATCTAGCTTTGATCTAACATACATCATCCACTCTCTTCTGCAAGAAAGCTCTGATGGCCATTTTAACCATAGGGGCTACTTGCGCAAGAAATTCATGCTGCCTGTCTACACTGGCCTCTTCTGGAAGAGCTCTTGCACAAAAGGGCTTCTTCCTGAGAGGGAGCATCAGAGTTCTCGCGCAAGAAGCCCTGATTTTCTACAGTACAATGTTAGTTTATGGCCAGTGTAGACAGGCAGCATGTTTTTGCACAAGAGTGTGCCAGTGTAGACACAGCCTGGAAGATAAAAACTGTAGGAGACAACCCACAGACCAGGTAATTCCTTAGGGTTTCCACTGTTTAAGACAAGGCTACTCACTGTGGAAGCCCTGGGGGCCATGATACTCACAGCACATGCCAAGGGCTGCATGTGCACGCAAATATATATATGCAAATATAGCTTCTCTCACTGACAGGAATGAATACAAATGCCCTGGTGCTCTTGGCACCTTCTTCCTGGGACTAGAAATGTCAATACCCTGTACTTGTCTGTTCCAGCCAGCCCATCCGCTTGTGTCTTTCAGTGTTCACCCCTCCTGGGAGATGTCTTACAGTTGTGAAGCGTGTTCCCAGTAGAGGCCATCTTCAAAGGATCCCACCTGTGAACCACATGTTGAGCCCTGAGTAAATCCAAACCACCCTGAGGCTGGGTGTTGAGTAGCCCTGGTTTAAGATATTACATGTGTGCCTTGTGCCTCTTGTTGCTAGATCAACAGCAGACTACAGAAAGCAGGAAGTACCTTTGTATAGGGTTTCCCATTGTCCTTCAACATGGCTGCTCTCCAGGTCAGCAAGCGAGCACTTTCCAAGGCCAGTGCCATGTCTGCCAGCTTGAACTGCAAAAGACAAACGTAAGAGCAGATGCTCATTTGCTTCACATACCAGCATGTTCTACCTCAGACTGTGTTGACAAACCTCTGAAACCTAAAGCAGTTTCACCACTGGAAGGGGAACATCACTTAACACACAAGTGCCCAAGCAGCTGAGCTAGACCTGTGCATGTGCATGGAGGTAGCTATAAATTTAGCTTGCCTGCACACATGGTATGTCCAGAGTTCAAAGGGCATTGTCTTCTCCAGACCAGCAACTGTGCTGGTGCCTGTGCTAACACAGCAGTGCCCTTATCAAAACTCTCAGAACTAATGTCACCAGACAAAGGATGGTATAGTATATTCAGCCTAAATCATACCTGAATAGCCTGCAGCTTAGAAATGGGTGAACCAAAGGACATCCTCTTCTCAGCGTAATCCACAGCACAGTCCAGAGCTCCCTGAGCTATTCCAAGTGCCTGTGAGGCAATCCCTATCCTGCCCGAATCCAAGGTTTGCTGAGACACACACATAAAAAAGTTATATATCTCTAGTGCCATGGGCTGAAAGGTGAATTTACCTCCAAAGCCTTCCAGACCAGGGTGAGCTGGCAATCTGCAGTCATGTTGGCATCCCCTGGATAATCCCACAATATATGGAAATAAAAAGCCTCAGTATATTACAACATCCCAGATAGTTATCAAGGTCAGAAAAAAGGAAAACACAACAGAGGAAAAAAATAATATAGTGGAGAAACGGCTGCTTTGCAAAGAATGTGGGGGAGGGAGAAGGGAGAAATTAGACAATAGAGAGATACAAAACTAGATTTCCTTGTTTCCCTACTTATATTAGCAGCACTAGTGCTTGTCGGTCTCTCTCTCCCTAGAGTCAACACTGTGGCTAAAGTCTCCAAAGAGGATAAGTGACTTTGGATGCCAAATCTGACATCTTAGAGGAACCCAATTTTCAGAAAGTGCAACAGTTCCAACTTCTGAGCCTTTGGCTCATTTATGGTGTCAAGTATTTTACACACACACACACGCACACACACACACACACCCACCCACCTCTACTCACTTCTGGAGATCTTGGCCCAAGACTGTCTCAAAAGACAATGCCCTCCTGTATTCCCCATACATTATCTTCCTTGTTAACACTACAGTTCCTCAGAAGTCACACATGTTCCTCGCATAAGATATATTATATGTCTGGATGAACTCCAGCTGGTGTTCTCTCTACATTACAGGTGTGAGGGAAGGCCCTCCTTCTGCTTCCTATGTGCTCAGTTTCTACACCTGTTGATTGTCAGATAGGTCTTGCCTTTCTGGAGTGTACCAGTGGTGCTCCTCGATTGCCAAGAAGGGTCACTACATACACCAGACAACAGGTTTATAGATGTTGTCCTGCACCCAGACTGTCTTCCCACAACTCCAGCTGGCTCTCACCATAGCAATTTTGAAGCCCATCCCCTGTTGCCCCAGAAGATTGGCTTGGGGGATCCGGCAGTCCTCAAATATCAGATTGGCTGTGGAAGAGGCTCGGATTCCTAGTTTATCTTCTTTCTTCCCCAGCGAGAGTCCAGGTGTTGGCATAGGAACCAGGAATGCACTAATGCCCTGCAATCAGAGCCAGGGTTTTAAAATGGCCTCCAACCTCTCATCATGCAGCGGGGCAGAGCTCTTCCAGGAAGCACATGAGGCTAATCCCAACTCAACCCCCCATTCCATCGGGCCATGGGAAGGCAGTGGGACAGAAGGAAAGTGATTCATTGGATGGGAGATTAAGGGGCAATGAAAGAATCCTCCCAACAGGAAGCTCTGCTCCAGCTGGTCTCAGATGAACTCAAGAGCCCTATGGGATAGGCCATGCGTCTGCCCATCTCTGCCACCACTACTGCTTTTCTGAGGGGCACAGGCTTCTCCCAGCTCTTGGTCCTGACTCCACAATCTAGAGTAAGTTTATGTAACCCTTTACCAAGTGCTCTACACCTCCCCCCCCCCCCACCAAAGTGTGCTCCACATGCTGCTTCTAGAACTGCATGCCAGGCTATCGCCCACTGAGCTCACCTTGTGTTTCTGGGACTTGTCTGTAGTGGCAAACACCACAACAGCAGAGGCATCCCAGGCATTGGTGATCCAGGCTTTGGTGCCATTCAGGACCCATTCGCTGCCCTCCAGCCGTGCCATCGTGGAAGCAGCTCCTGCGTCACTGCCATTTCCTGAGCAAGGTACCATGCAAAACCAAACCAAAATATTCCTGGTCACAACAGAACCAATTACCTCTGCATCCAGGGGATTGGGCCCAGGGTTCCAGAATAGGTCCTGACCTCACATACACACACACTAGTAATAGCAGCATGGGCTTTAATGGAGGTAGCTCCAGCTCACCTACCCTCACAATAACCTAGAAGGAGAAATGCCACCTTTGCAGAGGCTTCTCTACTCCCTGTGCCCATCTCTTCCCCTGTTCCCTGGCTGATGTTGCAAAAAGGAGGGAAGTTTACACAGGGAATTCATTCTGTCAACATCCCAGGAACTTTAACATGCATGTTACCTGGTTCACTGAGGGCAAAGCACCCTATTTTGTCACCGCTGGTGAAGGGGGAAATCCACTGATGCTTCTGCTCTTCAGAACCAAATTTCAGTATTGGACCTAAATACAGAGACTTCAAGGAAACAGGAGTCATGTTAATTTACACTGCAAAGAGAGTGGTGGACCAATAACTCCCAAATGTCCAGCCCCATCATGACCAGCATACCAGGAGCCACCCTTCAGGCTCAGGGAAGGCAAATGCCATTCCCCATCAGCACTAAGATTCACATTACTCAATTGGCAGAGTTACACTTCACTGCTAGGACTGGTTTCACACACATCCACCCCCGTTTCCAAGACAGTGGAAGAGTCTTACGTTATTGACACTCATGATGACGCCCGTGGACGCACAGCCCCTGCTGATCTCCTCGACAGCGATGGAATAGGCCAAGTAATCAAGTTCCGCCCCTTTATATTCCTCCGGCACATCCATGGCCAGCAACCCAAGAGCACCCATCTTCTTCACCTGCACAAGGAGAAATGGAGAAGAGGTCGTGTCTACACAGCAGAGTATAGTCAGCCAAAGACAGCTTCTGGTAGCAAAACAATGGAGGCGCACACATGGAAAGGCCCCTTTTGGCAACAGAACTCTCCAGTTTTGTCAATCAAAGCCACCTCGATATGAGCTAGTGCTTTTTCTGCAAAGGCCATCACCAAGGAGCTAGTATAGATGCTGATGTTCATTGTCACCATAACACTACAGACATGCACCCTTCCCCTTTCAAAGCTCTCGGAAGCCTGGAGCTGCTGAGGTAACTGCAGGAAAAAGGAGAAGGAATTGCAGAACTGCGGGCAGGCAGAGCGGGCTCCTGGTGGGAGGGAAGAGGAGAAACTGCTGCACAGAGCTGGGGGCTGATATGGGGGTGTGTCTTTTCCCCAGGATTGGTTGTCCAGGCTGCTGTCTGAATTTAAAGAGACAGCATGTCACACACTCTGTATCCCGTCCTCATGCACGCGTACACACACAGATGTCAGTTGAAAAATGGCTGGCAATCTGGTAGGATGCCCATGGAATAAGGGGACTGAGTAACTTGCATCATGTGCTGTACGTGCTGCATGAGGCACAGCAAGCCCTTCCTAAAGTGTCATGAGGGCAGCTCCACAGTCAGATAGCTACACCTCCTGCATTGCTCTCTGATGAAGATGCAAGAGTGGCTACGCTCAGCCAACACAAGGAGCGCAGGGTTGACACACAACAGCAGTTAAAGTGGCATAATCTGTGTCAACAAAACCCTGCAGCATAGACAAAGCCAAAGAGTCTCTGCCTTTATGATGCCTTGGCAAATCCCCAAGTACATATGTGCAGAAACATGCAGAGCCTCCATCAGGGGTGTACTTGAGCACAAGCACACTTCAGAGTCCCTGGTCATTCACCTAATGCAAACAACAGAAGCAACTATTTCTACCCCCTGCTGGGGTTCCAGGCCAGCTCCCATCTATGCACATACTAGCCAATCATGGTAGGTCTGGTAATAGCAGCGTTCTCTTACTGGGTCAGCTCCTGGTCACACAGATGTGCCATAGTAAGCCTACACAATGTAGGCACCTTGCCTCTGATTCGGCTGGAGAGTCAGATCTCAATAGCTGCTGAGCAGACTCAGCTCATAGTGGCTTCAAGAGGAATTACAGGTGCTCCGTGTTGATACTGCCCTTGCTGTTACCTCAGGTTGACTATGCAGCAAATACTAGCCCTTTTTGAACCAAGAATCATAACTTAAAAAACAATAGTCTAGCAGCACCTTAAAGACTAACAAAACATGTAGATGGGATCATGAGCTTTTGTGGGCACAACCCACTTCAGATGAGTGAACCAGAACATTAGCTTATTCTCTTGCTTCTAGCAAAGCTGTTTATTACACTGTACAGAGGTGACTGAGGAGAAACCTAGCATATCCAGTCCTTGCAACTACACCTTTAATCTTTTACTCAAACTTTATACAACATCCAAAACGTGCTTAAGAAAAGGGCTTTACAAAGCTATTGAACCATGGATAGTTCACAGAAAAGCAATTTTATAGCTGTCTCACTGAAGTTGTCTTTACAAGGAGTTAATTATTACCAGCACAATACAAGATATTCCCTGCCATTGGGTACTTATGTTCTGCCATATCAATCTTAATGTCTTTGGGCAATGATTTTGGGTGTGTATCTTGTACATTGCTAAGCAACTGTCATGGATTAACAGGATTGAGTTAGCATTTTATGACATTGCCTGGCAATCTGGTATAGCATTTAGCTGCTGTAAAAATTAAATATTTGAAATCTAGACAGGATAAAAAAAATTCCCCTTCTTGTATTTGCATCCCAAATATTGTAGTCTTTAGCCATTACATGAAATCCAGAATGGGGGACTATAAGATGATCATGAACAAATGACACTGATTATTTTATCTACAATGCCACAGAATGGAATGGAAAATGTACAATAGAGGAAAACACATTTGAGTCAAAGTATTTTCAGTTATAAAAACTTCAGGTGCGATCCATAAGTCAGGCAACGATACTCCTTTTAATTTATTTTCTTAGAGTATGACCTTTTCAGATGGTCAGTGAATCAAACTACAGAGAGAGAGAAAAAAAGTGCCTTTTATTTCATATATATTCAGTTTGAAGCCTACGGGCTAAGGCAATAAAACTTTGCTTTTTAAGTCAACTTATTTGATTACTAAAAATCTAATTAGTGTTTTAAGTGATCCAGCTGCATCAGTAGTGCAGCAAATGATGTCTGAGCTTATTTCACAAAAGTGACACATAGGACACTGGTACAATGGAACCCCAAACAATCCCTTCCTGTTTCTATTGGCAAAAAATAAAGATGTGCAGCTTCTCTTTAGCAACACAAACTCTAATTTTCATTCACTTCATCAGCTGAATTATGCTCAGTGCATGCACATTTTATTGTTACACAGTATTTTGTTGCAATGTGTGACCTGTCTCTTTTCACTAAAACATTTTATTGATTTTCCAAGTCAGACGCATCACATGCAGCAGCCTTGGGGAATGTCACTGGGAGAGAAAACTCAGTAGTACCAAAGCCCAGAGGGGAAGACAAAGAAGGGCAATCAACATGAACAGCTAGTATATTGTATGGTTTTCAGCTAAACAATAGCATGGCCTAGAGGCAGTATTATACACTGAGAGTCCAAGTATGCCTGACAGAACCCCTTGAAAGTCACTCTAAGCTTTATCGTGCTGATTTGTGCAATGGTCACATACAGAGACTGCCCACCACAATGGAGTTGGAGAACAGCACACCCAATATGATACATCAGGCAGCATATCACATGCACGATCCCAATTTAAACTGAACATATTCTGTGCTGAGGTCAGGGCTAGGCCATGTGTATCTGTAGGGAGACATGTAGAGGTCATGCACTGTATTGGTGAGGCTGGGGCACACGGTCATAAGAACAGCCATACGAGGTCAGACCAAAGGTCCATCTAGCCCAGTATCCTGCTTTCTGACTGGCCGATATCAGATGCGCCAAAGGGAATGAACAGAACAGGGAATCATGAAGAGATCCATCCTGTTTCACGGATTCCCAGCTTTTGGCAAACTGAGGCTAGAGACACAATGCCTGCCCATCCCAGCTAACAGCCATTGATGGATGGATCCTCCATGAACATCACTGTTTTTTGAGCCCTATGCTAATTTTGACCTTCACAACATACTCTTCCAAAGAGCTGCATAGGCTGAATGTGCACTGTGTGTGGAAATACTTCTGTTTGTTTTTAAACCTGCTGCCTACTAATGTCACTCGGTGACCTTTTCTTGTGTGATGAGAGAGTAAACAAATAGCACTTCCATACCCACCTACTCTACACCAGTCAGGACTGTACAGACCTCTGTCATATCCCCCCTTTAGAGTTTCTTTCCCAAGCTGAAAAGCTCCCATCTTATTAATCCCTTCTCCTAGGGCAGCTTTTCCATCTCCCTGATCATTTTTCTTGACCCTTTCTGAGCTTTTTCCGTTGTGTGATGAGAGAGTAAACAAATAGCACTTCCATACCCACCTACTCTACACCAGTCAGGACTGTACAGACCTCTGTCATATCCCCCCTTTAGAGTTTCTTTCCCAAGCTGAAAAGCTCCCATCTTATTAATCCCTTCTCCTAGGGCAGCTTTTCCATCTCCCTGATCATTTTTCTTGACCCTTTCTGAGCTTTTTCCGTTGTCCAAGGATCTTTGTGGAAACCAAACCCCCCCCCCCAGCCCCCTCCTTCCCCCGCGCGGTGCGG